TTTTATTTTTTATTTCTAGTTGGCAACTCGTTCGATTGAACCGTCATTCGGCTTGCTTTTTGGCGACTTACTAAATGATCTCGATGTTGGCACTACTGGTGCTGCTGTGATAATAAGTGCCTTGGATGTTTGTATGAATTTTTCTGGTTTATTTGTGGGACCGTTGCTCAAGGAGTTCTCATATCGTAAAGTAGCAATAGCAGGGTCTCTACTCTGTGGTCTAGGCTTAGCTTTAACATCTCCTGCGAACAATATGGCACATATATTGAGCACGTACAGTGTTATCAACGGTATAGGTGTTGGATTGGCTACATCAGCTGCATTTGTTGCATTGAATCACTATTTTAAACATAAACGTGGTCAGGCAGTAGGTCTTTCTATGGCTGGTACCGCGATGGGCATGTTGATAATGCCTCAACTTGTAAGAATTTTATTAGAGGGTTTTGGTTTTCGTGGCGCAATCCTAATTTTAGCTGGCGTAGCGTTACATTCTACTGTTGGATCAGTATTACTTCAACCTGCTAAATGGCATATGAAGGAAGAGGTAATTGATGAGGAAATGATGATTGTGGGACCGCCATCGCCTGAAATTAAAATAACGAAAGAAGATGGTGCAGAAGAAGATGCCTTACCAGAACTTAATACTTTACTATTTAATAAGCATAATTTACGTATGCAGCAAAATATGCGTAAAAATTATTCAGAAATAGCTATGGACACGATGAATGGATCTCGACTTGGACTACCCAAACGTCCTACGTTCCCACGTATAATGTCATTAGCAGGAGTTCAATCGGCTGCAAACGGTTATAATTCAAACGTTGATGTCAATACTGAGCTGCGGCATCGCAAGGCTTCCGTCACTTCAAATCTATCATACATGGACTTTACTGGTTCCATATTACAAGTGCATATGAACGTCGGTGATGAGGAATTCGAAAGAAATGACCGCGAACTGAAACGTGTTAATAGTGCAGCCACTTCGAGCATGATGAACGCACACCACGACTCATTTATCAAAATGAAACCAACTGATTTAGAAAAAGAGTCTGAAATCGATAATAAACCAGCAGAAAAGAAAGCCGGGTTTTGGAGACGCTTCGCTGATTTAATGGACGTTGATTTACTTAAAGACAAAATTTTTTTAAATATTCTTTTTGGTCTTTCCATCTTTTATGTTGGCGAAATGAATTTTAAAATGGTAACGCCATTTTTCTTCGCAAATTTAGGATACAGTAAAACCGATGTTGCTTTCTGCCTATCAATCACAGCTATAACTGATATAGCCGCTCGTATAGTATTGCCACCTATATTTGATCGTACAACTATAAAAAAGCGCACTGTCTTTTTAATATCAATCATTTTTGTGGCAATAACACGTTCAAGTAAAACTTAAAAAAAATGTTTTTAATTTTTAACGAATTTGATATGTTTCAGTTATGGCCGAACAAACCGACTGGACTCAATTAATGATTTGGCTTTCAATATGCGGGTTTTTTCGAGGTTCTGCCTTAAGTAACTTTACCCTAACTGTTTCTGAATATTGCTCTCTAGAAAAGCTTCCCTCTGCTTTTGGCTGGCATTTAGTGGGCAAAGCCATATTTGTGATTTGCTTTGGACCATTAATAGGTAATTTAAATAATCTGTCTCGGATTATAATTATATCAGTATTTGAAATTTATATCAGATAATTCTAAATCCCAACTGTATTTCTTATGTCATTATATTTCTTTATTCTCAGGTCTTATACGTGATGTTACAGACAGTTATCCTATATGCATACATGCACAAAGTTTTTGTATATGTATGTGTGGAGTTGCTTGGGGCATTGAGTATACCATCAACTATATACGGGATAAAAAAGCGGACCAAATAAAGACTTCTGCGCCGACTGCAGATATCAACCTTAAATAAATTTGTTTCTAATTATTATTATTTAGCTAATTTTACAGAAATGCATAAATTAGGATATTAATTTTTACAAATTAAAGTTTAAGCAGATGTTAATGGCTAGTAGTACGAAACAATCCCTAATGTGCCTGATCTGATAAATGGGCAATACCCAATTATATATACAAGTAGTAGTTATATGTTATATATATATATATATATCATATATTTTAAAATATACAAGTCGTGTTTAGTATTATAAAATTTTATATATGCATATTGTATAAGAGCTTATATATGTATAAATAGATTTATTGCCTTAGTTATAACCGAACTTACATATGTGATAGTTCAACAAAAATTTAGTTTTAAGACGGAACACTGAAATAGAAATCTTAATAATATATGAATTAAACAAAAGAAAAAATGATATTAAATAATTAGTTTTGGAGCAACCAGAAAATAAAAGGACCATATCCGAGTAACAATAACACCACCGTGTCAACTGTAAAGCGTATATTATTAAAGAAATAGAAACTTATATTTGTGTACTTCAAAAGCTATAACCAATAAGAATGTAAAATATATCAAGTATTATAAATATGTTTTATAGTTATATTTATCTTAACTAAATATTTTTAATTTAATTAGGCATATGGTAAAAATATAAGTATAAAGTCAAAGTCTCACAAAGGTTTTTAACCAGATACCGGGCGTGTCTTCATTTTAGGATCGTCAATAAGACGTGTTTATTTCATGTTTTTATGAATGTTTATGAATTTTATAAATAGATTTAAATAATTAATTTGATAACTGCTTAAACAAACAAAAACTTCTGTTAAATTTTGTTAACGTATAAATAAATAATTATTTTAAACTTAATGCTGTAGGAACGAACTAATTTTGCATGTAAATATTTTTGTTAAACATTTTATTAGGAGATAAATAAATTTTACATCTAAGTTGCTAAATTTTATTGAACTGTTTCTTTTTTAAATTTTATTTTGTTTCTTCAATCAAACTGAGATTACTAAATATAATTCTCCTTTCATATATAAAATTTTCATTTTTACTAGGTTTTCTAAATGTAAACGAGATCAGGAATCACAGTGGGTCTTTATTTATATAAAAATTGGCTGAAAAAGTTGGTTTACTCATCTATTTATTCAACTGTTCATTTATTATAACAAATGGTATAAACTGCTATTTGTATTGTTATCAAATCATCTCATTTCTTGTGTTAGTCAAATATACTAAATGTTTTATAAATGCAATGCAGGTTTGTATTTAAACATATCGTTTAAGGTATTTATTGAGATCATTGAAGGGATCCACTATGTTTGTGTATAGAATAGATTGGTTATTGCATAGAATATGTTAAGACTAATTATTACTTTAAAAGAAAATTAATCGTTTCGTTAATGTTGCGATTATTATATAACAAAATAAACAGCTTTATAATCTGTTTTGATGGTTCAATTTATTCCAATGAGTCAAGGTAAGTTTGTGAATATGTATCAAATATTGTAGGAACCGGATACAAACCAGTGTGAAAGGCTACTATATACAAAATTATGACACTGCAAACGTCTGTGCAATAGGAATAAGTCTGGCCTTATGTTTACTTTTAAATATTGCTTAATACTTAAAGAATATACAAAAAAAAGACTTCAAATGTTTAATAAATAAATTAAATATTTGTGTGTGAAAAAGCCTGCTACGCGCCCCTTTTATACGAAATATTCGAATCTTATTAGAAACAATAAAAATTGTGAGCAAATATATATTAAAGAGCAATTAACAGACACCAAAACGACATTAAAGCAGATATAGAGACCACAACGTTATTGAAACTTATACCAGATATTGAACATTTAGCAGATTTAAAAAATTTCATGGTAATATATAAGACAGAAACACACAACAAAATATTAACATTGGAAAACCTTGATATACCGAAAAAAGTTACTTTTGCAATAGCTTATAATATATACATATTTCATTATTCATAGGTTAAATTTACAAAAACATTACTATGCTTGTATAAATAACCCTTGCTGTGTTTTCAGAATTCATTGGAACAATACCTGTGAATACCCGTTCTGGCAAAACTTTCGAAGTTTCATATAAACTTCGAAACATCGGTGATATTTTTATAGATGTATTACAACTATGTGAAATATGTAAATTAAAAAAACAAATAACATTTTTTTATATTATCCAAATAAGTCTTTAACAACATATGTACATATATAACGTTATTAAAAAAGTAAATTACAAACTCAAAACGATAAATTTTGTTAAATTTAATAATTGTAGTTATGTATAACGTCCATTGATTTTACAAATATACATTGATGCCACTTAAGCACTGTACATTTAAAAAATATATAGAATGAAAGTAGCTGGCAGCTTTTTTAGCGATTTTTTTTTCTCTCTCTATCTCTCTCTCTCTCCAATTCTACATTAATTGTTGAAAGGTAATTCTAAGGGAACGAGTGGTATGAAACAGTGTCACATAGGAAAACCGATAATTTTATAAACACAAAATCTTGTAAATAAAAGCGCTAGTGATTATGTGTTGTTTGGGAAAATAGAGAAAGCCACGTTAAAAGAAAAAATCACCTTTCACAAAATAATTGTTTTGCTAAGCAACTGTGAAACACAACGATTCTTATCGTTGACTTAAAATGTTTTGTCAGCAAATAAAAATATTCTTGTTAAGTATTGTTGCTGCGTTTCGACGTGCCCTCTGTTGTATCCGTCGTCGAAAGCCAAGCATTTCTCCAGAACCTATACACCATAATTTTGAAATCATAGTTGATTCAGGAAACGCTATAAAACGTCCATATCAAGTAAAGATAAAAATTCATATATGGTACTTAATGTACTTTCATTAAATGTAACAATCCTTGATTTCAGCAAAGCGCAGAACGTGATTGGAATTCATGGGACGATGCTCCACGTACCGTTGAAGAGCATATTGAGCAGTACAGACAACGTATTGCAAAACCACCAACACCGCAGAAAGAAGAACCTGAACCAGATTTCTTTACAGTCAGTAAATAAACATAATTGTTCGTTGTGTTCTAATTTATTTTTTTACTAATCAATAGGAACTTACACCAGTTATCAAACCACAGCCTATTTACTATCTTGGTGATGACAAAAAAGAAAAGACTGATTTCTCACGTTTAGCTGCAGATAAAACCGATGTGCCTATAGCAATTAATGTATGCCTTCTGAATTAACAATTAAATAACAACGATACTCATTATTTTTCTTCGCAGGCAGACTTGGAGGATTGGGTAGATGAAAGTAATAGCGGAGGTTGGGAAGAAATTGATACTGAGCAAACTAAACAACTAATTCGTGACACAAGACGGGAATTGCGTTATCAACGACAGAAAACTAATAAACCAAATGGAATTGAAGCAACTAGTCCTAGCCGAGGAATCGGCGCCCAACGAATTGAGAGCCAAAAAGGCAGTACATAATATATAATTGATATATATATTTCGAATGTATATTTCATTATTCATTCCTTAATTCATGAAATCTTATATTTTTCGTATTAGATTTATCTGATCTGATTTATTTTTTAAAATTCAAATATTTAAATTAATTTCCTTGTATATATATTTATATATCTTTAATGTGTATATATAAATGAGCGTAGCGTTTAAAAAACCTTTTTAATTATATAAGCACTAATCTAAATATTTAAAATTTTATTTATCTTGAGTTTTACGTCTCGTAAAAGCGCAATTCATAATAAAATGTTATGGAACATTTAAACTATAAAATCTATAATAAACAAGTGCAATCCAAAGTTTTGCATTATGCAAATAAAAGTGCAAGATACAAAATATTGCTTGGCAATATTAAAATTATTTATTAATTATTATTTTATATTAGTTAAGACATTTATCTGTTTTTATATATAATTGCTTTGCCCAATTGTAATCAGCCGCTGATGTAGAAGTCCGGAATATAATTTGCGATTACCATAATATGCAACCAGAATGTGTATTTACGAATGTTTTAATATTTGTGGATTCAAGTGATATACTTCCTCGTCTACTTTGCGGTTGTGTCATAAGAGTTTTTTAGTTTTGTAAATCTAAACGCTTCAGTAGTTTCTGCAGGAAATAATTTTATAATTCGATTTCTATATAAACTTATTTTGAGCAAGTTTTTGACAGTTAACATTCAGAGACGTGTCAAGAAGCAACCATGACTCTCGTAATGAACAGAAATAATGTTGGCTTAATTTCTCGTAGTTTCTGGATTTGGAATGTTTTTGCATTTTTCCTAACATTTTGTAATGCAAGTGAAGCAATAAATATTCCAACTATCAGTAGTTGGCAGTCTGCTACTCCAGGCAAACTACTGTATGCATTGGACGCGATTACCAATAATGTACGAGGCGCACCTGTTGATCTATCTAATCGGCTATCCAAAATAGTGAAAAGAAATACAGACGGGTCAAGTGAACAGGAGTCATCCTCATCAGCTGAGCAACCATACAATTATGAACAAGCATATGAAGACTTTGTGCGTGAATACTTTAGTAAACTATTCGATTCCGGAGAAAACAGTAAAAGCGAAAGTGTTGAACAAGAACGAGCGGAGGCACAAGTTTACAATACAAAACCATTGAAGAGTTCACAGAAGTCAAACAATCATTCGAAAAAAGACAGCAATTGCAAAACTATAATGAAGAATCGGGAAGAATGCGTAATTTGTGCGAATCCAAAGAGTGGTGAGAAATCGGAAACTTGTTCATTTAGTACAGAAAGCGAACCAGTCAATTATGCCTTCAGACATGAAAATAACTACAAAATGGAACGACATAAATCTGAACCTTCAAATGAGAATTCCAGCGATGAAATTCAGGAACCTAAAACCGTTAGCAAAAGAAGCAGAAGGCCGCGCAGAAAAAGTGAACAGAAAAACAGTAGCTGTACTAAGAAAATTGAGGGCGTGAAAGTCTGTTACTACTGCAAAAATGGCGATACCGGCACTAAAATCAAATGTTTCAAGCGTTTGCCACACAATCAGCCACAAAAGGCGAAACAAGATCAAGTCCAGAAAATCAAAGAGAAGCAACAACGAATCTATAAGCGGACGGCCTCATACGTAATCGAAAAAAATTTTTCAAATGTAGATGATGATAAGTAATCTTATATAGAAAATTATTAAATTTATTCCGAATTGATTAAGCATATCATTTTCCAAATAATATTTTTTGAATGAGATATAATTTTATATGCAAGTTATTTAGATAAGATTAACAAATTCACTTAAAGAAATGAGCCAAGACCTACCTACCTTATTTTTCAAAACGCTATAAATGTATACATTTGAAACATTTGAGTAGTTCATCCAAGGTTTACTTTACTAATAAATGATTTGTCTAGCTTAACATATTTCAAGTATAAAAATATAATAAATGATTTTTTGCGGCATTAACGGTATTGTGAAAGTATTGGCCATCTTTTATGGTTAAATAAAAATTTTGATCTAAACATTTCCTAAATGCTTGTCCAGACTACAATGAAGAACTTTATTTATACTTATTAGCGTCTATTAGTTCCCACGTTTGCTGAGCATGCTAAAAATTTGCGATTCTAGAAAATAAATCAAAATTATAGTATTTTTTAAGCTTAAAACGCATATTTTACATTTTATTTAAAATAAATCAGCAAATAATAAACTTACAAATTGACTTGCAAATTCAGTATTCTTTATAAATATATATATTTATTTATATAATGTTGTGTATATGTATGTATATGATTCTACATTTCAATTATGTTAGCTAAAACCTTTATTTATAAAATAAGGTTAATTTTAGTTATCTTTCTTTTAAATGTTTAACAAAATACTCTTTTATTTTTTTAAACTTTACGCGCATTTGTATAAATAAAACTTCATAAAATTAACAAACTAAACAAACTTGTCAAACGAATTAAAATAAATTACTAAAAATTACATTAAAAAAGTACATAATTAGTCAGTTTCTTTGCTTCATGCATTGCGTAAAAAATTGTATATTGCTTAATTCCATGGCGTTTCAGCATTTCTTCTTGGTTGGTTGGTTTCCTTAGCTTTTTTGTTTTCTGTCGTCTTTTGTGCAACCACTCAATTGTGGACAATGCTAAATGGTTATTAGTTATTGTTTGTGCTTAGTTACTATTAATGTTGTTTTGATTCTGGACACTATCCATGTTGGGTATGTAGTCGAGCGCCATCATACAAGCAAAAACGGTCATTACCATTTTAGGTTTGACTTCAGTAATGTCTTCGGGTAAGGCATATACTCGTGCGCCTATTTTACGTGCCATTGAAATGGCATATTTGGCATTGGCTAAATTATCCTGAAGTAAATAAAACAACAATCAGTGTTATAAAGTTATAAAGTTGGGAGATTGTATATAAAATCCAGAAATATAAAAACTTACGTCTTCAGTGCCACCGGTTCGCACCAAATCATAATTTATACTGCCTTCTTTTATAGAATCGATTAGATCAATCACAATTTTACCATCAGCAATCGCAGGATCATTAAAGTTCTTTAAGCTGGACTGTTTTCCTGCTTCAGCAAGTTTATTGTTCACCCATTGAACAATTTCTTTTTCAATGATAGGATTGCCAGTATTCGCCAACCGTGATAAAATGGAAAGCGTGTATGCGCGCATAAGTTGCCATATCAATGCTGTATAAATAATAATATTAATTGAAATTGCACATCATTTATTTATTTACTAAATTACCTAAAGTAAGAGTAGCGTTGCCATCGTTCAAATCCTGACCAGCAATACCAACCAATGAAAATTTGAGTTGTTTTCCCAAATCTACGGCGTAGTTGCAATTTTCAAGCTTCTCCATAAATTTCCGCAATGGGGTAAAACGCTTATGTACACGACTCCAAGTAACAATGCCAGGCTTGATGATATCAAAAAGCTGGAAAATAACTAAACCATCAGCTAAGTCGGAGTACAGCCAATTTACATGAGGAGAGACACCCATAGAATTCATCCAATTTCTATAAGCTACAAACAAAATTGATCAAAATTAATATTGATTTCAATTAAACAAAAATAATTCTACTTTTCTCTTCGCGTGTTTCTTCAATTGATTCCAGACCCTCGATTTGTTCGGGTTTGTCAAGACCCGGATGATTATTAAACAAGTTTGCTACAAAAGCTAAATTCAATTTATAAACACCATTGACAACGTCCTGCGGTGTCAAGAAGCTGCGACAATTTAATTTAGCCGCTTGTTGCAACATTATTTCAGCACGTGCTGTTAAATCGTTTTCTCTTAGAGCGTCCAAATTGACGTCAGTGTCATTGCCAGCAATTTGTTTCAACAAATGTGAATAAATTTCCGAATCAACAATGTCCGATTGGAAGTTTGTACACCGCCGTGAAATACCAGCACGTTCGAGATGATGATTCACCCAACGTAGTAAAATAGCTTCGGGTGACAGTTTCATAAGATCTTCTAGACGTTCATTATCGAATAATAAACCTGCCAAGCCAGGACAACTATCCAATGTTATATGACTGAACAAGCCAATACGTATAATTTGCCATAAAAGACCAAGCACCAAATGTGGTTTGCCCTTAGCCAAATCATGCGCATCAATGTTTACGATATTACAACCGATAGCTTGTGATGAAACTAAAGCCAATGTTAAATTCTCGAACTCTCTATATACAGTAAGATTCTTCTTGTTAATAGCACGTTCATCAATGGTGTCGGGACAAGAGTGGTTGATAATTTTACATAGCAATATGCCATCTTTGATTGACTGATAAAGTTGTTTGCCCTCTGAATCAATAGGTAGCAGATGTTTTAAATCCTGATCGTGACCCAAATTCGAGTTAATCCAATCAGAAAAGGCCAGTTGTTCTTCCAATCGCACTGAATGTGTTGTGCCTTCGGAAGATATACTAGACATACCACCCAAGGTTTCCAGATTTTCTTTCTTCGAAACGACAGTTTTAAATGTACTGGCTACATCCTTTGACTTTAAGTCCAAACATAAATTTTCAAATTCCTCCAAATTTAGTTTACCTTGATGTGCAGTGCGTTGTTTGTTACGGAACTCCTCAATCATTTCTCGCACCTGGTAGCCGGGCAATTTAAAACCAACCTGATCAAGTGCATCCTTAAGTTCACTGAGGTCAATAAAACCATCTTTATTTGCATCGATCTAAAACAAAATAAAATTAGATTAATTTTATACAGTATAAGTATTCTTAAACATTTGAAACTAATTATCAGTTATATTGATATTACTTCTTCTATAACATATATATTACTCATATAGTCAAATAAAGATGCAGCGTATATATAAAAGTAAAACGCTTACATGTCGCATTCAATTTCAATCCGAAAAATGATTCACACACTTTAACGAAGAATTTGTTTAGATTTTCGAATTGAAGGTGACGATACACGGGGTGATTTCATGCGAACTTGAATTCAAGAATAATGAATAAGTCATTTTATACTATTTTATTTGATTGCAGAAAGAATGAAAACTTGTTTCGTGAAATTTTAACAACCCACACACTCATTATCAGATACAAATAGATAGATGTATCTAACTCTGTGTATTTGTTACGCGCAATCGGGATATACAAGTATCGCGTAGCTCTTTTTTGTTTACAATATTCGATCATTTAGTTGAGATTGTTTACAATCAAAAAATTGGTATTTGTAATATTTTTTTGTTATTTTCAAAATACGTAAGTAAAAAAAAATGAGCATACAAATCGTGAAGTGAATTATGAAGCTTTGCAGATATGACTTCAAAAAATATTTCATATAGCGAATTTATATATATATTTATATATAGGTATATTTGATCATATAAAAAGTACAGCTTAGACTATAACAACGATCTTAAGTTCCGGTTAGGTCCATTCACCCATTCTGTTACCGCATAGGGCGCAAAGGAATTTACACCACTTTGAAGTTTTAATAAAGCCCTTTTAAATGAGATCTTATTAGTGACTAAGATCTTTTAGCAAGGCAAGGACATTAAGCTCTGATAGATGAATAAAAAGAAGTATTGATATGAACTATAGTTTTTTAGGTCTAACAGAAAATGTCATTAGTTATTAATAAATATTTTTAAAAATTCTTATTAACCAAGTATCTGATTATTTATAAGAGTTAAATAAATTTAGATAAGAACGTAGAAATCAAATATAGATAACAACGCAAATTTATTGTTTAATCACATGGGCGATATGTATAAAGACGGGAGAAAAAATACCAATATATATACAGTATGTATCGGATTTAAGAAATATTTATATGAAAAATACATTAAAACTTTAGCAAACATTATTTAATTATTTTTTAAATCGATAATTTCAGAGAAGGCTAATTGTGGAAAATTCGTTTTGATCATTAAAAACCTTTACCCAAGTTGGAACTCACACATGGATGAAGACTCGGATTTTATGTTTTTAGTAATGAGCACTTAGAGGATTCAACCATTGTCTTCGTTCGACTTCTGAATTCTAATTCTCATAATATTGAAATATGTGTTAGTCCTTTTAGCTTCAAGCACATTAACTTATTTTTGCTATTGTGAATAAAGGGTCTCTTGTTATTTTTATACTATGCAAATTTCAAAGTTGTTCCGAAAACTAGTTATTATTTTTAAATATATAATTTTTAAAAAATTAAATAAATATGTATAAATAATAATTCAAAAGAATAAATAATAAAAATGAATAACTATTTATTTATAGTATAAAACATTTCCAAAGTTGTGAAACTTTACCAATACAGCATTTAGCCACTTGGCTATTATCATCGTTCGAATTTCTTTGCTTAATTCGTATATATTATATATACAATATTATGTCCAAGGAAGTATCACTTTGTAATATTTGACTTTTAATTACTTAATAAATGATGTTAAGCTTATTTCTGTATTTTCCCTTTCCAAATTTATTTGTGGTAATTATTTATAAGTAAATACATTTGTATTCGCCACATATATTAAAAAATAATGCTCACTGAAATCGAACCCCTTTTTAAACTTGCGATAAGTTTTCGCAAACAGTCAGACATAATTTTATTGCCTTTTATGCAGAAATTCTTGCGATAAGATAAATCGAAGAGTAATTTTATAAATATTATAAATATAGTTATGTTATGTGCGGCGAATCTGTGAAAGTATATTTTTATGCATAAAATTCCAATAGGTGTGATAAGAAAATATTTGCAAGTATTTCTAAAATTGTATTGCCACGGAATTACTCACGCATTTCAAACATATAAACTCCCCTTACCAAGAAAACATAAAGCGTGAAGTAATGCGTTATACAAATAAATTATGGACTGAAATTCTGGGAGTGGTGATGTCAGATGATTTTTGGCTATTTAGAGACACCCGGCTATTGGAAGAACAATATTTACTGCATAAAAATATTTATTTTGTGGTCAAAATGTTTCAGTTCACACTAAATAATCCAGTAATTCCACTTAAACCGTATATCGATTGGTGCTGTGCCTATGTTTAAAGGTAAAATTCAAATGTACAAGAGTTAACCATTGCAGTATGGCCATAAAACATTTTTGTGACCATATATGTACTTCATAAAGCCCATTAAGCATTTGATTAAGGTGCCAATGAAATTTTTTACCGATAAATGATTATTAAAGTGATAAGCATTTTTGATTAAAAGCGATTTGTAGCAGTCTAGTTAAATGAATTATTTGCCAGGGAATTGAAGGTTTCTGGCAGTTAATTGCTTACCGATCTATTCTAAAATAACTTATCGCAAATATAACAATAAAAGGTAAAATTTTTTACACCCATTCACACTTAATTCTGATAAAACCTACGTTAGGTAATAATTCTTCCAAATTCTGCTTGTATTCCTCAAGGATTTGATGATGTTCTAAATGCACAATATCGGCCATGTTATTTTATTCAATTGTTTTGCACGCAAATATATATAATTTAATTGAAAATAAATAAATAATGAAAAATATTTGATGACGTCACTTAGCAATTATTATCGCACTTAATACCGCCGTTCGAAAATGTTTGGGCTTTTTGCGAAGTCTAAAAACGAAACACGACTGAACCGATTGATATGTTCGAAGGGGCAACAAGCCATTCAATATAATTTTTACTTTTGTTAATGTAGAAGTACGTTTATCAGGTAAAAATTGGCTCATGGTTTTCTCAAAGCAACAACAATTTTAAGTTTCCTTATCACTATTACCAACACCAGCGGCAATATTACCAACAAATATTGAAGTTGTTGTACGCAACCATTCGCTATCGATCTAAAATAGAACATTTCTAATAAAAAACATATCATCGACCGAGAATTACTGATTGAAACTGCGTTAACTGAAATTATAGACTGATTCAATCTGTAATGCTTTATATAATAATAAAAGTCAATAATGCATCTCAATGAAGAAATGTTGTACAATGGTTCCACTTTAATCATCGTGAGAAGTTCACCTGAAGTTTATTTGCAGCCATTTTAAGTCACAAACAATATTATAACCGAAAACTAATTAAAATCATATGACGAAATCGTTTAATATCTCTGATAAATATTTGCTCTCTTTTCAGTTACGCATATTATTGGCATAGAACGCATTGCATTGTTTCAGGAAGAATTGAAAAACAAAAATATAAAGAAGTAGTTATCGGCATTGGATTAAAAGATCTCTTCCAGTATATATGGAAGCTTCATAGATAAGATATATTAATTTAAATATATTATAGTTCATTGTTATTTGTAATTGAAGATATTTGCCGAGATTAGTTCTTATCTTAGTGGACCAATAATTATAATAATATTTTTAGACATATACGAAAGAGATTTTAATGCTGTCGTAACTTATGCAGAAAATCTAAAAAACAGAAACATGATTGGATTGGAGTACATTTAGGTCTTATATATTTAGAGACTATATTAGATCATGGCAATAGGTTTCTATTGAAAACGGTGGTTTGCTATAAATTAAGATTGTCTCAGTCACATCTATTAATAATGCCTGGAAATAGAAGTATGAAAATCAACTTTTTACACCGCCGAAAATTATGTCATTAAGCACTGATTAGTTATGAGTATTTTCCTGCAATACCGATAACTTTTGTCGTTCTATCTACAAAGTGTGCAAAGCAATTATTATTATTAGCTAAAAACGTTAAAATGAAATCATGATTACCGATTCTCAAAATTTCTTGTAAACAACTAATTAATTGATAATATTAATGAAATTAAAATCGTGTTGCTATCTATCCGCAATAACAAAAATTTATTTTATCATAGAACAAGCGAAACAAAATGATAATTTGAAACCTGTGAACAATATAGAAGACGATTTTGTTAGGAACTTGAATTTATTTTAACTTTAACTTGAACTGTTTTAAATAAAATATATCTATCATAATTGTTTTTTAATATTTAATAAAATAATTATAACTATTTAATCTCAAATTATTCTTTTACAGAATGTGATATTTCTCTGCGATGTGCTACTGAGATTCTAGCATAATCTATCCGTCATTTATAAGGTTGTTATCTATAAATTGGTCACTGCATCCTACACTAGGTATAATATCATTTGTCTTGTGAATCTGAGGAGGAGAAGGTATCCGTGTTTCACTGTCTTTGTCAATATCCACGTTTCGTCATGAGGGGATTAAACAAATTTAGAGCACCTTTTTATACTGATATGACACAGCTGCCATCCTATAAAATTAGGAACTTATGCCAAGTTTATAGACTGGAAAGTTTGGTTCAGCAGCTTCACTTGAATGAAGCAAGCGTGCCGTTCATCAGCATTGTCGGTACGCTGATCACTACAGTCCTTTTGAGAGTTCTTCTAGTTTCTGTAAGCACAATATTAATCCATGTCGTCACAACAGACCATTATTTAAGCTAAAATGGTCTTTGGTGTACAAGGCCATCACTGCAACCTAACCTAATTTATCAATTATTTGTTTAGCCTTGCTAGTCTTTTCTGATAGGAGGGGCCATCGACAAGTTTATTAAGTTTTACTTTTTGGGATCTTAATCAACATAATTAATTTGGTAATTATCATTTATCGGAATTTTTATAACCTGAAGATTACCAGGAAAATGACTGTTAATATGAATCAATCATTTTCCTAGTTTCTTGCAAGGAATTACAAGAAATTTCTTTTAAATAGAATCA